GAAAATATAAATTACCAATCCGGGGAGGGGGTTGAAGCATGATTGCTTTAGAGTAAAAATGGAAGTGTGTAATTAAGGAGTCACTTACTGTACCAGGTCTGGGATATGGGATACGACCTTCATATTGTACCCATCGATGATCCACGCTCTCTTTGTGAGCATAAGGACCATTGAAAACAGCTCTGATATCTGCCATGCTGTACACACAAACTGCAGAGCCCTTGAAGACAGAGCTGAAAAAGAAGATGGATTGATACGCACATTGTAAACACCTCTTCAGTGCATGCCTCATCCAGTGAATTAACTAACTCCACAGAGCCTAATCAGATTTGGATTAATTGTACACCTGAGAGTTGATAGAAATGGTGCTAAATAACAGACAATGTGTAAAAGTCTGATAAATACAGATATTTAATGTCACTGTCATTACAGTTTAAATCTTTGCTCAGTTGAAACCTGGACTTAGACTTTATATGCCATTTCATCCATAGTGCAACATTTCACTCTATTTTAAATATTTTATGCTTTTATATATTTAATGGAGCCACTGTAGTGGCTGCTTCTGAGTTAAGGATTGCCTTGGCAACTCTTCATTGTACTCATATTGTTCAGCATTTGGCTAGTCTTTATTATTTACACTTAATTCAAATGTTCTGGAGACAAAAAGAGAATTATTTATTTCCTTTCTAACAATTCTATATAGAGCACCTCACTATTGCAGCTGAAATGTTCATTAAGTAATTAATCTATCCCCTTGAGATAAAGATGGGTTATTTTTCCATCAATTCTTGTCTATAAAAACACTGAAATACAGCTGTAGAGTATAGTGGGGTTTAATCTTAAGAAACAGCTGATGTCAAGTTGTTGCTTACAGAAATAGTGTTTCGTGACAATGATTTGTCTTAAACAGTATTATTGTTTGCACAATAAATACAATTAAAATTTGTAAATTCGACTAAATGAGATGGAAATAAACTAGCATGCTTTCGATTGTTACATTTTTATTATTTTTGATTATCATTCTCAAAAGTCAGGCACACAAAGGTTTAAGGACATAACTCATATTTCCATTTCTGAAAATATTGTCCTCAGTGACTACAGTCCCAATATTAAAAGCCTATTCAAGCAGTCTTTCACTGCTCTCAGGAATCAGGATCTAGTAATAGAAGGGTTTAATAGGCCTGAGTAAGATCTTCAGAATTTGTTTCCAGAGGCAAACATGATCCTAACACATACCTCGTTGTAGTGAAGACTCCATATACAAGTGGGTTTCTCTCATCTCTTGTAGAAAGTAAGAATATATCTTCTACAATGGGAAAAACATTTTTTGTAATTAACCATTCATTGAACATTTCTGAACTTATCATTTATAATTTGGAGATTTGTAAATATATAACAAAGCTTTATTTTTGCCTGACTTTTAATTTCTGCCATGTGAATTTACGCTAATATTCTGAAGTTTGTCCATTTGCAGGTAGTCTGGTTTTTATACAAAATCAACTTTTCACTTTCCAGCTTTTGGACTTAAAGTGAAAATCCCTATTATTTCTGATCAGACTAGTTCCAGCTATATTCAGAGATTTCTGATAAAAGACAGAAATATTGCCCACGCTGTTTGGAAAATGAGTATAATCAGAAAAAGGCATAGTGTTTCTACAAAAAGTTAAAAACCAAGCAAAACTGATGTCAAAATAATCCATTAAAGATAACTCAACTTACGCAGCTCATCGAAATGTGTGTCTGCTCCTTCAGGACCAGGTATTGAGCACACAAGCCTGGCTTTCAGAAAAGTAGTCCACTTGTTTATTAGGCTCCTTTGACCTCCCATATCATTCTAATAAAAATAAAATTTAAAGACTTAAATATTAAACCAATAAGAAGAGTTTAAACAGATGACATTTGATGGCAACACAGTGTTTGCTATATTTCTTCAGCCTGTAGTCACTCTACTACCTCTAGTAGTCACTTCTCAGCTCAGAGTGAGCAACAAAAATTTTCCAATTATATCCAAATCTGTCTGCAATGTTCTCTTACCAGCTCTACAGCTGGAATATTGTGAAAACATATATCATGTGATTTCTTGTTCCCTGTGATACTAATTTTTGCAATCTGTTGTTCTTCTTTACAAACCAAATAATAATATAGAACATTTTGGATAGATTTGTCAAAAAAGAAAAATTATATTCATCATTAGTTCTTGCGATATAAATACTGAGATGTTTGTTTTGTGTACATGATACAGAGAGATATGCATTCCAGGGAAAACCAGTCATACTATTTTAATAATCATTGTTGTGAAAATATCAGCCTATCTTCAAGAAAATGGTTCGGTTGTTTTTTTTGGTTTTGTTTTTTTTTTTATTTTATTTTATTTTACTATAGGTTTCCAAGACAAAATCATACTTACCCAAATTTCCTTTAGTTATTGGAAAAAGAAAAAAATCTATAAAAGGTCACTTGAAATTTGAATTGCCCTTCTGAAGGGTAGGTGTCCTTCTACTGACTTGGATTTTATGCTCCTACATGCTTCAGTTAAGTAGATGGAAGGGAGACAGGATACACTAATTCCATCTAACTACATTTAAGAATTCAAGATATTTGTAAAATATTTGAGGATTTTCCAAAATGTTCCTTTGAAGGAAATGGAATACCATTACAGAGGTGTTTTAAAATACTGATGATTATGAGGAGCATGACAAAAACAGTAATAAAAGATTATCAGGAAAGAAAAAAAAAAAAAGAGGTGTGGGGGAAGTTGATCGTAGAAGAAAGTTCTAAATTTTAAGAAGCTGGAACTAGTAGTTTAGAGATTACCTCCTTCCATTGAGCGTATGAAAAAGCTAACGAATGATATTTATCTGTTCCCTTTGGTCCCAAATAACAGATCTATTTAGGTTCCACAATGATATGTGGAATTTTTTTTCATATTGAAAACTGTTAGGGCAATGATATAAAAAACCAAGAATTCAAATGCTTAAGAGAAATTTTATCACCAACAGCAGTGTCCTAGCTATAGGTTCAGAATTATCCCTTGAAGGTGCCTATTTCTTTTCATTTATAAACTCTGAAGCTTAGGGGATCTGTACTGCAAATTTAAGCACCACAAATTTGGTCATAAATATTCATCCCCTCCAGATTCATTATCTGAGAAACCACTTCTTTCTTTTTCTTTTTCTTTCTTTCTTTCTTTCTTTTTTTCTTTCTTTCTTTCTTTCTTTCTTTCTTTCTTTCTTTCTTTCTTTCTTTCTTTCTTTCTTTCTTTCTTTCTTTTAGCTTTGCAACTCTGAAGATATGAAACCAGCCAGCGGGAAACACTGGGTAGTGGGAATTACATGGTATTTCCATGGATTGTATTTGGCCCTTCAGGGCTGTGCCGTGAATATTACAGATGTTCAGAGAGATGGTTTTAAGTGCTGAAATTCACTTCACAAGGACTAACACTTCTCTGGTAAAGCACTCTAACCGTTTTCCTTTTCCATATACTTGCTATTTCTAAACAGGTTAGCTCAGTTGGAAATAATTCCTGTTAATCTATCGCCTTTAGAACTCCTGTTCTTACAAGAACTGCTACCTCCTCTCTTGATTTCCTGAGGTCCTGCCAAGTCTGAAGCTTTGCATCTACCCAACATATTTATTACAAAGGTGTCAAAATTAGCAGTCTGAAGCCAATAGGCAAAAGAAGGTCTGCGTGTGTGTGTTCTGTTCAAAGGCACAGCAGATAAACTTTGTGGTGTAATCAAAGCCAAACAATTACAAAGATGCAACAAAGAACCTTAAAGAGCAAGAAGCGTTAAATTTTTCCTTCCTCTGGCAATTTGGATTAGCTAACCAATTCTCGCGTTGCAGGGATTCCACTTTGATTTCAGGTGGGTGCAGTGCAGCATCACAGGAGATGAGATGTCTCTAATACCAGACTAGGATCAGAAAGGGCAGAGGAAGCAAGACATGACGGGGCTGGAATGGAAAAATCACCCTTGCCTAGCTCCTGCTCCTGTCATCACAGGCATTCAGCTTCCGCAAGAGATGGGAAAATACTTACTTGTGTTTCACCACCCTTATGTTATGATCCAACAGAGCGTATTTTAAATATATCAGTAGTTCTGCTGAGTTCCTAAAGAGTAGTGTGAACCAAATACTGTGCTCAAAGGAAGCAGTCTTAGTGAGTGCTGTGCTTTAAACTATAAGATTCCACTGGATTTAAGACGTATCCATATTTCCTTACTCGCAAGCCAAGACACAACGTTAACTATGTTACTTGAATTTAAGAGACATTAGAACAGACATTCACTAGGTGTGCCTTACATATCCAAAATGTGCCAATAACACTGTACGGTTTATAAAGGAGCAAGGGCAATTCAATGACCAGCCAGCACTCCATGATCTACCAAGTCCTTCTGAAGCCAGAGAGTGAAAAATTTATGGTGCAGAAATTGAGAGACTAAAAAGACCTTTAACTGATTTAGACAACTAATATGCTGACATAGCCTACAACATGCTGCTTCCTACTGCCATAGCTGAATGAAACAAAATGTACATTTTATTAGGAGGATGGGCTTTTTTTGTGGTTTGTTTGCTTGGTTTTTGTTTTTGTTTTGTTTTTTCAATTAGCACCCATTAATACTCTTCAATTCTTTATGTCATCTCTGAGTAATGCAGTGTCTTTGTTTTCCTAGTATATGCCCAGGATTCACTCACTGAGAAAGTGCAGGAATTGACAAAGGCCATGGCAATTTTATCTACAGGCAAAATTAGCTCAGCTTAGGCTAAGAAGGTCCAAAAACTATTAATAGTATAGACATATCTTTGTTCCTGGACTCTTCAGTAGTAGTTGTCTTATTAAGCTCTGGTAATCTCAAATTTTTAAAGAATGTGCATTCCTTCCTTTCTAACACTTTTTTTTGGGTGCATATTAGGTCAGTCTTTGACAAGTTCTGAGACTTCAGGTGCTGGAGAACATGTGATTATTTTCCTTTCCTTCAGACCATGTTGGCACAGAGTCATTAGCTTTGCATGGTCTCTCCCTACTCTGTTGCAGATTCCTTGGACCATGGTAGTTCATAATTATGGGCTTCTGAGTGGCTGGACAAAGGACATATTGGCCCAAAATCTTTTTGACACTGGGTTGCTACAGAAAGAAGACAGTCTCTACTCTGGAAAAAATTATTTAATAATATCAGTCTGCAATGAATCACTGACGTGCAGGCTGGGTAGTCAGTGGATTAGAAAAAGTGGATGGAAGAGAGAAAATCACTAAAGCAAAGGCCAGGCAGTGTGCAGGTGAACAGAAATAAGGATTCAACACAAAGTTACAGAAACCTAAGACTGTTCGACTGATTTCACATAGCAAGGATTTGCCTTAACCCTGGCAGAGATGTGCAGTAAACTGGATGCACTGAAATTATTTTGGACAAGAGACACTGGTACTGAAGACAAAGAACGCTAGGTATTTCAGGGAGATGAGACAAGAAGACAAGATAAATTTAAGTGCTGAGAGAAGGGGAAGGCAGCATGAGCAAGCCTTTCATACCAAAAATATGGCTAATCTACTTGTAACAGATGAGCAGACACGAGTATCTGAAATCTTATCTCTCAAAATATCACTTCTAAGCACACTGGATTAGCAGTGTTTACTATAAACTTTGTTACAGTGTAGATGAAGGGATTTAGGACTGCATATTTCTTTTTGAATATAAATAACGGTTTAATTAGCACTTACTGCTTTCTAATCTCACAAGCTGTAACAGACACCAACACTTCTGCCTCAAATACCTTATTTTTAACAGAAAGAAATGCTTGTAAAATCTTGGTTACTTGTGTTTGCCTGAGTTAGAGATTTAGATAATTGCCAACTAGAAGGTGGGCAGTTCAATCTGTCGCCTGTTGAGGAATTATTACCGAAAAATATCACAAAGATTTAAAAGCAGATGTTATCTAGATAAATGGGGAAGTAATCCAATATGGCTTTAATAAATCAGACAGACTTTTATTCTAAAAAACAATAAAATTTCAACTCTTCTCAATGAGCTGGTTCTAAATAAATAATTTGTTGGAGTGGGAAATCAGGTTTCTACCAAATCACATTAAGAATACAAATATCTAATGAACAACTTCAACGAGCATAAGTAAGTGTTTGGCTTCCTAACACCCAGGAAGAATGCTGTTTAAATGCCACAATGTAAAATTTGTGAAGCAAATTAAGGTTATATCATACACTTTTCTTGGGAGACTTCCACGGCAATCTCAGTTTTCTGATCTGCAATTTTTTTATAACTGAGCAAAACAACAGATTTTTCAAATTCTCTAATTAAAAATTAGTTTGTCGTGAAAATAAAAAGCATAAGAAAAAATATTGCTCTATGAACAAGTCATTAAAAATCAACTTATATTAAAAACTTTCTGTTGTATCTATTTTCAATTCTATTGCATCTTATATATTATATAAATGTAGCTTCATTAAAATGAACAAATGGTAGTCTTGGAATCCAGTAGGCAGGAAAACAGATGGCAATAAAGCTAAAGAACATCTGCATCTCTGGGGTTTTAAATCTCTTATTTATTTGTAAGCAACAGTGATAAATTGAACATCAGAACAAAAAGTGCAGTTTTCTGAAAATCAGTCAACATCAAAGATGTCAAGCACTGTGATTCATAAAACTTTAAAGACAGTAATTATCCTGAACAGCCCCTTAAATAAAAAAAAAAAAAAAAGACAATGAGAGGAATTTCTAGAAGCTGGTTATTAATTAGAGCCAGTGGCAAGATGTGCAGAAGACTATCCAAAGTGAATTCTTAGCCTGAATAAGAGGAAATGCTGAAGAACAGAGGGGAAAAGTG